GTTGATTTGCTGGCCCGCCTTCACTTAGGGCGGGCACGAGGCTTGCTGGGGGCCTTAGCCCAGAACATGTCCATCACGGCAAGGCCCCTTCTTGAAGGCTCAATCCTCACAGATAGCAAACGCGGCAAAAAAATTGCTGTTTTGATCCCCTTGAGTATGCCCTATGGTTGGTGATGAAAATGGTTTGCTGAAGATAACAAGGCATGACAGTGACACATCGACCCACCCAGGGTTATTGGATTTTCTTGTTTTTTTAACCAGGAAAAAGTTGCTAAGGGCAACAAGGCCTGACACACTCACCCAACCTAGGGCAGCTTTTGCCAGAACCATCAGATCTGCTGTCTTGCCCCCCATATAAAAACTAGGGTCATTTCTCAGCTACATTCAGCTATTGCGGGGTTCCACGTTTTCTACTGGGAAGATGAGGGAGCCAGTGGCCAGTGAGGATGGAGGGGGGTGGGGGGAGGGACGAGAATGAGGCCGTGGCCAGGGAAGCAGGAAGAGGGGGTTGTGGGGGACAGGAATGAGGGTGGGTGGAGATGTGGGAAGTTTGAAAATGTTAGTGCGTGGTAAATCTGGTGATGGATGTAACATGGTATCTGGTTGAATCTGCTGAGCATGTGAGATGAAATACATCTAGTCATAAGTTCATTAGAAAAGAAGTCGCCCGCACAGAAAAGTTGCTGCGATGTCGTCGAAGGCAAAGCTTTGGGACCTCTGCAAATTTTAATGCTCAAACCTCAAATTGACACAATGACATTCAACGCCCATATGATGTGTGTGGTTTGGGCCCCCCCATGATCAGACCCCATAATCCGACCCCGTAATCAGACCAAGCTTTGGGCCATAATCACCCTTTATCTTCTGATGATCAGAAATGATGGATGATGTGTGTGTCACAGTTGCCCTGTGGAGAGGTGGATTGTGAGATTATGAAAAGAGGGACATATTCCCCCTCCTTTCCCTCCCCCGGCCCACCTTCTAAAGTTGGTGATTGTCAATTTGTCATTCACACATGATTTCTGCATAACTGCCGACCAAAATGAAAGCATGATGTAGGGGGAAAAAATAAACAAAAACAATGGCAAATGGCTTTGCAAAGAAAAGGAATGTGAAAAAGCAAATTGAACTGCGGAGACAGGACCTGAATCACAAGTTGACTGAGTTCGTAATGAAGGAGAAAAGCAAAGGTGTCCATTCCTCTGCATATACTTTTGTCAAAGTTCCGAGAGAGTTCCGAAAAAAGAGCTACCTCTCCTCTGAGATAACATACATTGATTACATCGAAAACTTCTTGCGATTCAAAGCCATCCCCCGAATCCCACATGGGTCTGCGATAAATCTGTCAGCAAAAACCACACACACGCACGCAAGCACACACACACACACACACACACACACACACACACACACACACACACACACACA